AGCAGACAATACTAATTGATTTATTTTTAATATGTCGTTTTTATTGTCCATTATGTCTGGAAAACTGTTTACGTACATCTTTCTCTCCAATATTTTGTAGAAGTTGAGTATACAGGTCGCCTAACTAGCTTTGGTTAGTGGAAATTTTCCTTTAGTCGAATGGTATTGTTCGACCAGAGACCGGAAGGTCGCTCGTTCGAGCCCCAGCGGCGGCAGTTTTATTTTGTTTACTGTTTCCTATTACAGTTTCACATAATAGAAAGTTTTCAGTTTATATATCAAAGTTAAACATTCATTATTAAATATCACAGACACATACTAAGAGTTTCTAGACACGTAATAATTTAGTTTATATTGCACCATTCGTGATGGTAGATTTTTCTAGAAAATGCAGGGAGAATTCTTCAAATTATTCCCCGTTGTCGTTGTTCAATAACAAATTTAGGTTTTGCGCCATTATGGCGGTCATAATCATCCAACATTAGCCCTGTTTTAAATACAAAATTACACCAGGTAGATTCACCCGGTTTCAAGTGTGTCGCAGTGTCACCCCATTAGTCACCCCTCCAAGAGGAATGAGATCACCCGACGCCATCTTTGATGTTTATGTAGCGATGCGCGCATTGGCCTATCGATCGATAGTCAGAACTGGAGAAGCTGCTCCGATGTGCAGGTACGTATGGTGAGAAGGGAAAATAAGGCTTTCTAAGAATGAGAAATATTTCTCCATTTGATGTTTTATAAGTGTCATCGAGTGTTTAGAATGTAGTCAGTAAAATAATATTTCGTCAGTTATTTTACAATATTATCGGTAGTGACGTGCATGATCAGCACCATCACGGTATGGTGAGCGTGCGGGACCACGGCTCCTGCTGCTCTCGGCACCATGAGTAATGGCAATGACTGTTGCAGAGATTATCTACGAGCGTCAATCAGACGTCAGAATTTAAAAGATAAATATTCATTAAATAATATGTTTAAGGTCTTAATTGTTACGATTAAGATGTCGGTCGATTATCGATTTCCAATGCATGATTAAGTGTTTTCCAATAAACTGATCCGGACACGGGACGATGCTGTACGCCTGACAGGAAAAAAATTCTGGATAGCAGCCGACATGCCAACAATATATCTGAAATTCTGTCAAAGATTAAATGAAATTTAACATATTGCAGTGACTGTAAACGATCTACAATTAATACAGTCAGGAAAAAAATTAATTAGTCAGTTGTGGTGCATATCTTTTTCTTGTAGTAATTTTATTATATATTGTGTAATTATGCAGGTCAAAAATGAGTCATAACTCCCAAGTATTATTTGTATTATATTATATTCTGGTAGTCTTTGAGAATTACTTTCTGTTTTAATGATAATGATTGTTACTGTAGGTACACCACTGCATAGTGGTGAGTTGAACTTATTGTTTGTCATCACTTCAAAATGTTCATTATCATTACCATGTATCACATATTATTTTGTTGTATTCATTTCTTCACAATGAATTGTTTTTTATTATATCTACTCAACATAAACTGCATATATATAATGTATTAGTGATGGGATGGTAATTGAAAATTATGCGATAAAATTTAACCTAGTCATCTATTTGAAAATTAAAAAGATGATTAATCAGCAGAATTTAGGGATGACACAACATGCAACAATGTAATTGAAGAAGTTTTGAGTACAGGTCACATTAATAGCCTTGGCTAGTCAGAATTTCTCATTAGTCAACTGATACAGTGAAAGTTATTTGTTTGAACCCCTGGTGAAGGGTCAGGGTATGATATTCATTACTTTTCAATCAAATTAAAATGCAGGTCATCATAATTACACTACGTTATTTATGATGGCTGCGGGTAAGGGGTCATGTTCAGATGATCTTTTAACCATCCAATCAAAATGTGTCTGACAAAATTATGCCAGAGTCTGTTTGGCTGCGGATAAGGGGTCATGTTCAGATGATCTTTCAACCATCCAATCAAAATGTGCCTGGCAAAATTATGCCAGAGTCTGTTTGGCTGCAGGTAAGGGGTCATGTTCAGATGATCTTTCAACCATCCAATCAAAACATGTTTGGCAAACTTATGCCAGAGTCTGTTTGGCTGCGGGTAAGGGGTCATGTTCAGATGATCTTTCAACCATCCAATCAAAATGTGTCTGACAAAATTATGCCAGAGTCTGTTTGGCTGCAGGTAAGGGGTCATGTTCAGATGATCTTTCAACCATCCAATCAAAACGTGTTTGGCAAACTTATGCCAGAGTCTGTTTGGTTTAGGGTAAGGGGTCATGTTCAGATGATCTTTCAACCATCCAATCAAAATTTGTCTTGAAAATTATGCCAGAGTCTGTTTGGCTGCGGGTAAGGGGTCATGTTCAGATGATCTTTCAACCATCCAATCAAAATTTGTCTTGCAAAATTATCCCAGAGCCTATTTCTCTTCAGCACTTATGATTGTTATTGAATCAATAATATCCGAGTGTAATGAATCTGAAACATACTAAGGTGGCGTTGTAAATCTCCTCACAATGAAAACAGAGAGTATTTATCTGATAATGTATTTGTTAACTAAAAGATTCTCATTCGTAATTACTGAATCTTTCACTTAAGGAAATGAAGTGACCCAAAAAAGGATAGACTAGAAGCTGAAATGAATTGAAGTAAATGAAAGTGGGATTTGCTGAAGTGTTACAGGTTGTTGAAATACATAAGATGCAAGTTGATGTAATGACATAATGTGAAGACTAGAAAATTTCACTTTGTTCATTTGCTGCAAGACATTGAATATTTTCAACTTTGCCATTTTATGCTGGACAGGCATAGGAGAGATGATTTTTGATTGGCTGAAAAATCCAATTGTATGGGAAGAATAGAGGTCATCTGAACATGACCCCTTACCCTCCACTGTCTGGTCTTCACTTTCATGATAATAAATGTAGAAATGATGATTTGATCAGATTGACATATTAGGAGGCATCAAACACCCCAGAAGTAGAAGCTGTAGGAAATTGACATGCATTGGGAGCTAAAGAACTAGTAGGTTGTAATTGATAGCGACGCATTGTAGTTCAAACCCAAGCGACAGCAGAACATGTTTTTCATTATTCGTATGATATACATCCAAAGCAAGTGTCATTGTTTATGGAAATTAAAGTGGTATATTTAAAGTTAATGTAAGCAGACACAGGTTTACAAGACAAGTAAGTATGGGATGATATCTAACCAAGCTGACTACAAGACAGGTAGGGATGGTATCTAACCAAGCTGACTATAAGATGGATGGGGATGATATCTAACCAAGCTGACTATAAGATGGGTAGGGATGATACCTAACCAAGCTCACTATAAGATGGGTAGGGATGATATCTAACCAAGCTCACTGTAAGACAGGTAGGGATGATATCTAACCAAGCTGACTATAAGACAGGTAGGGATAACATCTAACCAAGCTGACTATAAGACAGGTAGGTATGATATCTAACCAAGCTGACTATAAGACAGGTAGGTATGATATCTAACCAAGCTGACTATAAGACAGGTAGGTATGATATCTAACCAAGCTGACTATAAGACAGGAATGTTATCTAACCAAGCTGACTGTAAGACATGTAGGAATGGTATCTAACCAAGCTGACTATAAGACATGTAAGGATTTTCTCTAACCAAGCTGACTATAAGACAGGTAGGGATAACATCTAACCAAGCTGACTATAAGACAGGTAGGTATGATATCTAACCAAGCTGACTATAAGACAGGTAGGTATGATATCTAACCAAGCTGACTATAAGACAGGATTGTTATCTAACTAAGCTCACTGTAAGACAGGTAGGTTTGGTACCTAACCAAGCTTGTTATGAGACATGGAAGGATGATATTTAATGAAGGTCACTAGACAGGTGGGTATGATATCTAACTAAGCTCACTGTAAGACAGGAAGGGATGATATCTAACCAAGCTGACTATAAGACAGGTAGAGATAACATCTAACCAAGCTGACTATAAGACAGGTAGGTATGATATCTAACCAAGCTGACTATAAGACAGGTAAGGATGATATCTTACCAAGCTGACTACAAGACATGTAAGGATTTTATCTAAGCTCACTATAAGACAGGTAGGTATGATATCTAACTAAGCTGACTATAAGACAGGTAAGTATGATATATAACCAAGATAGATATATGACAAGTAGGGATGATTTCTAACCAATTTTTTATGATACAGGTAGAAAAGTAAGGATTTGATGGTTGTAGTTTAAACCCACTGCTTACTATGCATGAAAACACATTATTGATTTGCCTTTCCGACACAGTCTGGATAAGTTCTACATATTTGATCTTCTGAGGATTATTTTGCATGCATAGAACATTCTAATGTTATTCTGCTGGTTTTCCAAGAAGACAGAAATGGTGTCTAGCCATTGTGGTTCTCTTAAGTAGAATCAATAGAGACTTAAGTGAGATGTGATAGTACTGTGAACAGAGATATCAAGTCTACAATGTGTAGGACTTCAATGCCCGAGTACTAATGGACAGTCAATTATTGATGAGTAAATATCTAATTTAAAGCCTGCACATCCAGATATATACCATTGTTTTTGGTCCAATAGACAGACATCAATACCACATGGTACATTTGATATGATGTCTTGAGTCCTGCAGCTTAGTACTGATGGACATGCATGTAATCAACGTACTAGATCATCGTGATAAGATATTACTGTAGAACAATATCTAGATAAGTGATGTCCTGTAGCCTTGTTAATTCGTCATTTTTAATGTAGTTTTGTCAAAAGATATCTGAGCTTAAAAACCAGCTGAATTATTAGGACAAATATATATAACACTGTCTATCTCGTCATTGTGTTCAATCAAATGATAGTTTACTAGTATTTGATAAATAGATTTAAGTAAAATTTGGTGCTGTTGATTCAGTAAGATGTTTAACCTTTCATTTGCGTTTCTTTGGTTACAGGTGATGTGCTGAACAAGTGTAAACATGGAGCACTTGTGGTGTTTTGGACTTTTACTGTTGGCGTTCTGTGTGCTGCTAGAGGTTGAAGCAAGGCCCTCTTTGCAGGTAAACACTCATTTTCTTTCTGGAAATTATGCAGTAAAAACAAACTTATTTCTGTTGTAGAAGTGAAGTTTGCGTGCTAATATAATATGCATTGTAGTACAGTGTACTGAAAAACCCAAGCCTCATTTCTGGTTTCCCTCTCTTTGTCCTTTGGTCAATAGAGCGAAAGTGAATTTACAGGTGAAGTTTTAAATTAAAGTATTCATCCTTTGGTTAACAGGATGAGCATGAACTGACGGCAGAAGTTTTCAGTTAAAACATTGGTCCTTAGGTCAATATGGCAAAAATGAAGTGGCAGCTTGTGTTTTAAGTTAAAGCATGTTATTACACTTTTGGAGTGAATTGGGTGTAAATATCTTTATTGCATGGTGAACAGTGTGAATTCCTTTTACTATGTAAAAAGAGCATGTAATTTCTTGGTCAGACAAATTGGAAAAGATGATGATTTGACTTGTGCCAAATTCTATTACTAAAATTGAAGTGTTTTAGTAAGAACATCACTATTTATCATATGACTTTTATAAAGTAAGAATGTATGCTCAGAGGAGCAGATGAGAGATTAAGTCTGGGTTAGGAGGATCAGAGGGAACAGATCAGAGATTAAAGCTGGGTTAGGAGTCCCAAAGGGAACAGATGAGAGATTAAGTCTGGGTCGGGTGAGAGATTGAGTCTGGATTGGGAGGCTCAGAGGGAACACATGAGAGATTAAGTCTGGGTTGGGAGGATCAGAGGGAACAGATGAGAGATTAAATCTGGGTTAGGAGGCCCAGAGGGAACAGATGAGAGATTGAATCTGGGTCAGGAGGCCCAGAGGGAACAGATCAGAGATTAAGTATGGGTCGGGAGGCTCAGAGGGACTAGATCAGATATTAAATATGTGGGTTGGGACGCTCAGAGGGAACAGATCAGAGATTAGGTCTGGGTCGGGTGAGAGATGAAGTATGGGTCGGGAGGCTCAGAGGGACTAGATCAGATATTAAATATGTGGGTTGGGACGCTCAGAGGGAACAGATCAGAGATTAGGTCTGGGTCGGGTGAGAGATGAAGTATGGGTCGGGAAGCTCAGAGGGAACAGATGAGAGATTATGTCTGGGTTGGGAGGCTCAGAGGGAACAGATGAGAGATTAAGTTTGGGTTGGGAGGATCAGAGGGAAGAGATCAGAGATTAAATCTGGGTCAGGAGGCCCAGAGGGAACAGATGAGAGATTAAGTCTGGGTTGGGAGGATCAGAGGGAACAGATCAGAGATTAAATCTGGGTCAGGAGGCCCAGAGGGAACAGATCAGAGATTAAGTATGACTGGGGAGGCTCAGAGGGACTAGATCAGATATTAAATATGTGGGTTGGGACGCCCAGAGGGAACAGATCAGAGATTAGGTCTGGGTCGGGTGAGAGATTAAGTATGGGTCGGGAGGCTCAGAGGGACTAGATCAGAGATTAAATATGTGGGTTGGGACACTTAGAGGGAACAGATCAGAGATTAGGTCTGGGTCAGGTGAGAGATTAAGTATGGGTCGGGAGGCTCAGAGGGAACAGATGAGAGATTAAGTCTGGGTTGGGATATGTGGATTGGGAGGCTCAGAAGGAACAGATGAGAGATTAAGTCTTGGTTGAAATGCTCAGAGGGAACAGATCAGAGATTAAGTCTGGGTTGAAAGGCTCAGAGGGAACAGATGAGAGATTAAATCAGGGTCAGGAACACATCAGAGATTAAGTCTGGGTCAAGAGGTTTAGAGGAACAGATCAGAGATTAGATATGTGGGTTTAGAGGCTCAGAGGAACAGATCAGAGATTAAATATGTGAGTTTAGAGGCTCAGAAGGAACAGATGAGAGATTAAGTCTGGGTTGAAATGCTCAGAGGGAGCAGATCAGAGATTAAATCTGGGTCAGGAGGCCCAGAGGGAACAGATGAGAGATTAAGTCTGGGTTGGGAGGATCAGAGGGAACAGATCAGAGATTAAGTATGAGTGGGGAGGCTCAGAGGGACTAGATCAGAGATTAGGTCTGGGTCGGGTGAGAGATTAAGTATGGGTCGGGAGGCTCAGAGGGAACAGATGAGAGATTAAGTCTGGGTTGGGAGGCTCAGAGGGAACAGATGAGAGATTAAATATGTGGATTGGGAGGCTCAGAAGGAACAGATGAGAGATTAAGTCTTGGTTGAAATGCTCAGAGGGAACAGATCAGAGATTAAGTCTGGGTTGAAAGGCTCAGAGGGAACAGATGAGAGATTAAATCAGGGTCAGGAACACATCAGAGATTAAGTCTGGGTCAAGAGGTTTAGAGGAACAGATCAGAGATTAGATATGTGGGTTTAGAGGCTCAGAGGAACAGATCAGAGATTAAATATGTGGGTTTAGAGGCTCAGAGGGAACAGATCAGAGATTAAGTATTGGTAGGGAGGCTCAGAGGAACAGATCAGAGATTAGATATGTGGGTTTAGAGGCTCAGAGGGAACAGATCAGAGATTAAGTCTTGTGGGTTTAGAGGCTCAGAGGGAACAGATCAGAGATTAAATATGTGGGTTTAGAGGCTCAGAGGGAACAGATCAGAGATTAAGTCTTGTGGGTTTAGAGGCTCAGAGGGAACAGATCAGAGATTAAATATGTGGGTTTAGAGGCTCAGAGGGAACAGATCAGAGATTAAATATGTGGGTTTACAGGCTCAGAGGGAACAGATCAGAGATTAAATATGTGGGTTTAGAGGCTCAGAGGGAACAGATCAAAGATTCAGTCTTGGTAGGGAGGCTCACAGGAACAGATCAGAGATTAGATATGTGGGTTTAGAGGCTCAGAGGGAACAGATCAGAGATTAAATATGTGGGTTTAGAGGCTCAGAGGGAACAGATCAGAGATTAAATATGTGGGTTTAGAGGCTCAGAGGGAACAGATCAGAGATTCAGTCTTGGTAGGGAGGCTCACAGGAACAGATCAGAGATTAGATATGTGGGTTTAGAGGCTCAGAGGGAACAGATCAGAGATTAAATATGTGGGTTTACAGGCTCAGAGGGAACAGATCAGAGATTAAGTCTTGGTAGGGAGGCTCAGAGGAACAGATCAGAGATTAGATATGTGGGTTTAGAGGCTCAGAGGGAACAGATCAGAGATTAAATATGTGGGTTTAGAGGCTCAGAGGGAACAGATCAGAGATTAAATATGTGGGTTTACAGGCTCAGAGGGAACAGATCAGAGATTAAGTCTTGGTAGGGAGGCTCAGAGATTAAATATGTGGGTTTACAGGCTCAGAGGGAACAGATCAGAGATTAAATATGTGGGTTTAGAGGCTCAGAGGGAACAGATCAGAGATTAAATATGTGAGTTTAGAGGCTCAGAGGGAACAGAAAAGATAAAAGATTAAGTATGTGGATTCAGGGCCACCCAGAGGGAACACATAAGGTATTGAGACTTGGTTTGTGGCAATCTTATGGATTCTTAAAAAAATTCTACTTCCATGACCCAGATTGATACTTTTGTATGAGGTCTTGCCACATTGGACCCCACAGAATTTTTATGGTCTGTGACCCTGATTGATGGTATGCTGGATTTTAATTAGTACCTCATGCAGGTTTCAATGGTTTGTTCTATTCAGACCCTTCTTTTAAAACAATACTCTGATAGATTACAGCTCTTTTGGAAATTGCAAATTATACTGTCTCCTGATGGGTTGTATCGGGTTTTCTAAATAATTGATGGCTCATTGACGAGAGTGTGTGATGTTGTTTTTTTGTATTTTCTTTAAAAATCTTTTTGCTAATGGTTTTGGGCTCACCTGCAAGGAAGTACTATGGTAATATTACTTGGCGATGTTTCATTTGTCACTCTTTCATCATCGATTGTTTGTTGTCTGTCAACTTTTATACAAAGCAATATCAGGTTTTAGCAACATCGAGTCAAAAGAAAATTGATTAATAGTTAGTAGAAGTGTTAATGGGTGGCACAAAAGTCTTAGACTGGACAACATTGTCTGGGGTCGGAGAAAAACATTGCCAGTTAATGTAGTGTGTGGTGAAATCTGTATTTGTCAAGAGGGAGACAGTATTGTTTTTGGTAACTCTACTGTAGTTTATCAAAAATAAACTGTGACAAGTTGACTTTGAATGTGAGTGTTTAATAAAAATAATTTGTGTCAATTGTAATCTTGAAATCAAAAGGAATGGTTTTAGGAATTTGTTTGTGTGTATTCTAATGACACAACTGTGGAGGTCTAGATAACAGTCATACAGGACGAGGAAATGTCAGTAACTTATCAGATCCATACCAGACCAGGAGTCTTCAGTACCATACAACTGTCAAGGTCTACATCAGATCCATACCAGACCAGGAGTCTTCAGTACCATACAACTGTCAAGGTCTACATCAGATCCATACCAGACCAGGAGTCTTCAGTACCATACAACTGTCAAGGTCTACATCAGATCCATACCAGACCAGGAGTCTTCAGTACCATACAACTGTCAAGGTCTACATCAGATCCATACCAGACCAGGAGTCTTCAGTACCATACAACTGTCAAGGTCTACATCAGATCCATACCAGACCAGGAGTCTTCAGTACCATACAACTGTCAAGGTCTACATCAGATCCATACCAGATCAGGAGTCATCAGCACCATACAACTGTCAAGGTCTTTATCAAATCCATACCAGATCAGGAGTCTTCAGTACCATACAACTGTCAAGGTCTACATCAGATCCATACCAGATCAGGAGTCATCAGCACCATACAACTGTCAAGGTCTACATCAGATCTATACAAGATCAGGAGTCTTCAGTACTATAAAATTGTCGAGGTCTACATCAGATCTATACAAGATCAGGAGTCATCAGCACCATACAACTGTCAAGGTCTACATCAGATTGGTGCCAGATCAGGCGTCGTCAGTACCATACAACTGTCAAGGTCTTTATCAAATCCATATCAGATCAGGAGTCTTCAGTACCATACAACTGTCGAGGTCTACATCAGATCCATACCAGATCAGGAGTCGTCAGCACCATACAACTG